TTTATTATCAAAGATCAAATCTAAATTGTTAAAAGAATTGGAAGAAGATATAAAAAAATCTTTTCTTGTTACTGATCATCGGAAACTCTGTACATCTCAGCACTTATTTCTGTCAACCACAATCCAGGAAATAGGCTCTGCAATTCCATCACAGAAAAGAAAATTAAAACAGAGTAAATTTCATAGAGAAATCGAAGAGAAAATAAAAAAGATTGAATTTTGTAAATGTTGATAGATTTTTTAGACTTACATCCAGATTTTTCTGAATATATTTAGCTCGTTTCCTGGGCCGGCGAGATGGCCGGTGACGGATTATGGCCGCGAAATCTTCCTCGATCTCCGGCCGGGAGAGGGCAATGGAGAACTTTGCTCTCTCCCCGGTGGAAGAAGCGGCGTTGGCGGCGGCGGAGCTAGTGGGGAGCTTTGGAGATTTGTATTCGGCCTTCAATGGGGAATCGTACGCCGGCGGCGGAACAGGACGATTTGAATCTCCGGTGGATCCGTTCGGTGGCTTGCTACCCGATCGGCGAGTCCGGAAGTTCCACGGCCCGGCGGTTTCCGATGGACCCACTGGGGGAATAGTCTGAAAAGCTGCAATCGGCGCCGGGGGGCGTTCGCCGCCGTCTGCCGCCACAGGCGGTCGCCGCCCTTCGTCTCTCAGACCCGTCTTCAAAATCGCGTCTTTCATCTTATCCGTCGCCGCCTGGAGATCGAACAGCAGTCTCTTTCTCACGGCGGCAATCCCATCGTCGACCTCCGCCCGGATTTCCCGGCCACCCTCCGATCCGAGGCTCTGCAACCCAGAAGCAGCCTCCGACCCTCGCCACCCGAGAGACTTCTCCGACGACGATGACGACCCATCAGACCTCCGGTGGACGGCGACGATTTCTCCGTTCAAATCAAGCTTGCCGCACCGCAAGAACTTCCGGCGACCCCACTTCAAATTACACGGAAGCGTGAAATTATGCAGCGGCGGCTTCGATCTTTGAGAACCCATTGCCATTGAGAGAGAATAATAATATAGGGTTCGTTAATCAATTGATTCAATAATTTCTCTTCTATTTTTTTTAAATTTTCTTTAAATTGATTTTTTTTCTTGATATTACTTGGGTTGTTTTTTCACTTTTCCGTCTGAGTTCACCGGGAACCTCACAGTTTATATAGGGACGGTTTAAACCTTGCTAAAATGCGCTTTGTTTGTGGTTCACTGGTTCCGTGGTTCGTAAGGGCTTCCACCAACTGCGTCGTTTGAGTCCTCTTTTCAAACTTTCACTTAAAAAAGGTAATTTACTTAAATATGACTAAAATATTATTACTTTTTCAATATATGATCATATGTTTTTATTTCCTAATATAGATAATTGGTCATTATCTATTAGTCATTATTCAACTAAATGTCCAGCATTACTTAGACATTATTCTTCTCACTAGTCATTATTAAGTCCTATTTAGAAAATAAAAAAGTTTAAGTTCTACATTGGAAAATGACTTATGTTTTAGTCCTATTCAATACAAAATTCACTTTAATTTTAGCATTTAAAAAATGCAATCAAGTAATAAAAAATACTCAATATATCATATAACGGGATGTACGGTATTTTGTCAAGCATCCATGACGTATCCGCATTTAGGAATAATAGAATATTCATTTAAAATAGAGGTACGAAATCACTAGAGAATTCGTTGAACTCATTCGACCTACGTACGACCAACGGGAGTCGATTCTTTAATTTAGTTAGTTGCACATCCTTCTGTATTTTAGTTAAAATGAATTGGATCAGACGATACCTGTTATGGTACCGCGGTACCGACACACGGTACCTCGATACCATCTAAACGGTTCGGGGTATGCCTGGTGTCAGGTACCTCTAGAGATGGCTTGTGACTGTACTTGCCTACCGCTACCGGCGGTACCTAGCTAGATACTGTCCGGGTGATAGTTTGATTAGGGGTGGCAAACGGGTCAAGGAACCATGAGTCGGAACCGGACCGCCAGGTTCGGTTCGGGTTAGGGGCGGGTTCTCTTTTCAAAAATTTATAACGGTCCGAGTCGGTCTAGTCCTTATAGATTTTAGGGTCGGTCCGGTTCCCCATTTTGAAATTGCATTAGACCTAGACCGAACCGTTTTTTGATATCCTAGTATTATTTTTAGTACATACACTGTTCTTAGCCTTACGATCGAGTTACGCCCTTCAATCTTTCGCAGTAGTCGGAGAGTCGGAAGTCACTAAACAGCTTATTGTTGTTCGATGTTCATGGGGTGCACACTTTACTCTCATGTCCCTCTTTGTCACTGTTTTGTCTTCATTTAGGTCTCTTCTTTTTGTGTTGGATGACTTAAAATTGACAATGTGGATAGTACATTGTGGTAGACTAATGGTGAATGACCATGTATATATTATTAATTTATTATCACTTTATTTTTTTAAAATTCGTATTATGATAGGTTCACACCCGTTGACCCACGGAATCGGTCCGTTTCAAACAAGTCGGGTTAGGTCCAGTTTCAATTTTAAAATTTTGTAAACCCGTTCCGGCCTGGACCGTTTTAATAAAAACAGGCCAAGTCCAGTTTATACAAATCTTGGCTCGGAACGGCCCGTGCCCACCCCTAAGTTTGATACCATGTCTATGTTAGTTTTGAACAATGACTTTTTCAACCTCGAGCCAATTTTCGAAAACTTCATTCTTAGTCATCAAACATCAATCAAACTATATAGAAATATTCTCCAAAGTTCATAGATTGTTTTGGTATCATTAGTTCGTAGTTATACCAACAATTTCAAGGTTTATGATTCTTGGTTCTTCAAGCATGTCAAAGACAAAACTCAACCAAACATCCGTTTATGAACATAGGAACGCTATATATGAACATTCTAATCGCTAGATAGCTTAAATGAAGATTTTGGAAATTTTCCGGCGACCTCACCACCTTTGGACAACACCAATGCACTCTTCACACTCTCAAGATCAGAATTAAATGAGAAGAATTGGTGAAGAATGGAGAGAGGTAGCTCTTCTTATATACGAGTTGAGGTAAAGAAGAAGACATGGCTGAGTCAGGATTTCAATTCTGCGTTTGGTGATCGACGTAGTGCGCGAGACGACGATTTGTAGGATCTTACACGCCACTCCTTGATTGAGACTAATTTGGTCTGAGTCGAGGTACACTTTTTTGTTCAACTTTTTCCAAATTACAATCTGATTGCACTGTTGTGATCAGACTGTCAAACTCTATCTAACGATATAATTTTTATATTTATTTGTAATACTTTTTCCGACATAATATTTTTGGATGTTTAACTTGACAGAGTCAAAATTAATTTAATTAATCTTTTATTCAAAAGATTTCCATATTCAATTCATATTCTTTATTCTCATGATTTCTTTTAATAAAGAATCTCAAAATTTCACATCATAAGTCAAATTCTTCATTTATTTTTGATTTGGATCTCTACTCTGATTCCCAATCAAGATCCCACAAATAATCAACATACTCCCTCCGTCCACAAATAAAGTTTCCATTGCGCGTTACGATGTTTGACTGAAATTATTTACAAATCATTTTATATGAAAAATGGTATGGAATTAAAAAATAAAAATTACATATTTAAAAACTACATGAAAAGACCTACAAAACTAGAGGTGACATGACTATATTATTTTATCAAATAAGACACAAAAATAGGCCAACAAAGTAAATAAAGTTTAACCTTGTGAATAGTGAACGAGAACTTTATTGTTGGACAGAGGGAGTATTAAATTTAATCTCTATGAGATTCATCGAGATTGTGATATTGGATATCAACACATTCAATTTCGGCCCAAGGCCCTACAATAATTTATTTTAATCAAAACGAATTTATTTAATTAAATAATAATTTAATATAACTTTTAAGATGTGTTTTGGAGCATTACAGCCAGATTGTTTATTCTTAAAAAGGCTCAATTTTTTACTTTTTAAAAAATATGATGCATATAATTTTTATTTCTCCTGCATTACCTCCAATCATATAAAATAATTTTTTGTGGTTCTTTTCCCAAAAGAAATAATCCATTTCTTTTTCACAAAAAAAATGTACTAAGCCTTTACGGAGTAATTAATTTGTCTCTCATGTGGGAGTTAACTATAGCATTTGGTTTGACTTCACACGATGAAGTTAAAAGTAATATTGACTTTTAAATTTTCGTAGACTTAACTTTGATATGATGTGATTAAAATAGTAAAATTTGCACTAAATAGGACTAAAACATAATGACTTTCCTAATGTAGGACTTAAACTTTTTTATTTTCTAAATAAGACTTAATAATGTCTTAGTGAGAGAAATAATGTCCATTAATGATGGACATTTACTTGAATAATGACTAATTAATAATGACACAAGGTCTTACTTTGGGAAATAAAAATATATGATCCTATATTGGAAAAATTATTGTGTTTTAGTCCTATTTAGGTAAATTTCTCATTAAAATAAGAGAGATTATACATTTAATTTTTTAACGGTGAGAGTATCACATACTACTACAAAATAAAAATACTACGTATTTAATTAAATTTTTATCTCCAAAAAGTTTTGAAAATTTTGTTTTTTAATTATACTCATATACCATACAAATTTAATGTAATTAATGAATATAATTTGTTTAGTTTGAGCCCAAAAAAATAAAATATTTAATACTCCCCAACATAGAGAATACTCTCCATCCTAAAATTATCTTCCCAGTTCGATTTACATGATTTGATTGAAATTATTTTCAATTCAATTTATACGATTACAGGTATAAAATTAATTTTTTTTATATATTTTAAAACTACATCAAAAAGTCTACACACAAGAGATGAGATAACTATATTACTTTATCAAATAATTAATAAAAATAAGTTAAAAAATTCATTATAACTTGATCCTGTAAATAATAAGTATCTAGAAAAATATTTTAAGATGGAGGGAAAAGCTAATTCCATTAATAGCAACGGTTTATGCTGCAGAATCTCAACGTGGGGCTTTAACGGCTACTTCCAATACTTCAAGAGGCTCCCCATATAACCTCCCAAAAGTGTCACCGACCCTCTAACCTTTTCCAGCCTATCATCTTCTTCTTGCAAAAGAAAAGACCCTTTTTAGCCCAATAAAAATGCCCCAAAGAAACCAAAAAAAAAAGAAGAAGAAACTCCATGCCTGAAAAAATGTTCAAGAAAAGGTCTTCTTCACCATTTCTGCAGAAAATGGCCAATCTTTTAGCCAAAATGAGAAGACCCATTGCTGCAAGGCTCAAGATTTCTCTGAAATGTTCAAGGAAACTGAAGAGGGTCAGGCTTCTCAGGCATTACAACTATGGGTACATTCAAGAATACGAGTATTCTCCTTCGTGCACACCAAGTGTTCGACATTATCACTACAAGAGGGAAGAAGCAAAGAAGCTCCATTTTGGCTGCAGAGGGCTGTTTGGTTCCTTGTTCTTGGTCTCGAGGTGTTTGGGTGCGCCGAGCGGGGGGGCTGATGATGAGAACCGGGCGGTTTTCATCCCGAATTTGAGCTCCGGGTCGGAGGCGTTTGGTTGCAATGAAGAGAGAGAGATGAGGTCCATTGATGAGAGGGCAGAGGAGTTCATTGAGAGGTTTTATGAGGAGATGAGGAGGCAGCATTATGTGATGAAGCACTTTGATGCAATGGTGAATGTTTGATTCATTGTGAATTGTGATTGGTTAAATTTGTTGTTTTGATTTTTTTGTGTGATGTTTATTTCATTCCCATTATTGGTTTTTGGAAGTTTCTGATTAAAAGCCATATTCTTTCCAAGTCTCCTCATTCCCATATTTAACTTCATGATTGAAAAGTGTTTGTTTAAAAAAAAATTGATATTTTTTTAATAAAGTGGCCATTATGAATTTATGCTCAGGTTGGAATGAGAATGATGATAAATTTAATATAGGTAATAATGTACGGAGTATATTTTTACATTAACTAAAAATGAATTAAATCCATCTCTTCTTTGTAGGATGACCTAAGTTACCATGACTAGTTATTAATTCTTTCATAAGTAAAAGGGGAATGGAATGATGGTCAGATGGACTTTATATGATGTAAAGAACATGCATTAAATGTGAATAAATTATAGAGACATGTATTTTTAAATAAGTTGAAAAGAGGATAGACATGGTATCATAAAGTTGAAACACTTAACACGAGCTCAACTGGTCTAATGGGAAGATGAAGTACGTTGATCCTAAGGTCAATATCTGACATCAATAGTGTGTGAGTTTTATTATTTGTAATAGTTCTTTGTGCGCATTGGTCACAAGACAGCTATTTTAAAAACCAGATTGAGATTATATGATGATTTAGCCTTCTTACAATCCTGTCGGGCCAGGGTGTGGGGGTGCCCGGGTGGGTGTTCCACCTTTTTTTGAAACACGTAACACACTTAGCTATAACTCAACAAAAGAGTGAAATCAACCACCCCTCTATATTTACATTAAGAGGGAAAAAGATTTGTAAGTTTTTTCTTTAAAAAAAGTGTGACTAAATTGACATTGTAAATATAATGGCTAAATCCAATCCTTTTATTCATATTTCATGTCTAGATGACAAAATATTAAAAAAAACACGAAGTATCAAAACTAAGTATTAGTGAGAGTGGATTTAACGAATTTAATGGAAGAAGTGGGTTGTGTTGGGTTTGTGGAGGCTTGGGCTTGATTTTTGGCCCGGGCCCATTTTACGAAACCCTAGATGCACTCTTCCTATATATATATTGCATTGTTGTACTTGTAATCTGCACCACAAGTGAAATAAGAAAATCCCCCCGTTGCAGCCGTGGATTAGGGAAACTGAACCACGTTAAATTCTTGTGTGTCGTTTGTGTTCCGTTTCTCTCTTGATTCTTGCAGATTATTTGTGTGTGTTGTGTGTTTAGTTCCCAATAAGTGGTATCTGTGAACAGTCGCCGCTGTGAGCCTGTGAGGGCCGCACCTGAGTGAGTCGCGCAGCAGGGGAGAGAGCCGCGACCTTGGGGTTGCCTCGCTGCCGTCGTCGCGCAGCCTTGGTCTCCCGCCGACCACCGCAGTCGCTGGGTAGGGCTTCGCGAGCAGCAGGCCGCGCCGCCCAGATCTACGCCGCCTGTTCGAGAAGGGGGAGAGCTGTGCAGGTGTTTGCCATCATCTGCGAGCCGCCGCAGCGTCCCTTCGTAGCGCCGCCGTCGTCGTCCGGTGAAGAACCGAACCCACCGTCAATCCGCCGTCCGCGTGTAGTCAGGCCGGGTTGAGGAGCCGCCACCGTCCTCAGTTGACGCTGCTGGTTGAGAATCCGCCGCCGCAGTCGTGTAACCCGCGCGCACAGATTCGCCGGAGGACACAGGAGCAGCCGCAGGCAAAAAGCTCAGTCGTCCAGCCGATGTCACCGTCTCCCAGACCCGCCGTCGTCTCCTGGAAGCGCCACCGAAGCCATTCTCGTTTTGAGATTGTGCACAGCCGCGAGAGAAAAAAAGGTGTGAAGAAGGAAAAAAACTACAGGGCCGAAGGAAAGAGAAAAGAGGCAGTGGACCTTTTTTTTATTTGGGCTGTGATTTTCTTTTCATCGGTGGAGTTTGGGCCTTTTTTTGTTTTGGCTAATTTAATTAGTGTGGTGGGCTTGATTTTCTGACGAAATTACCAAGATCTGAAATTAGTTGTACCTGGTATCTCGTCTAGTCATTTGAGATGACAGAAGATGGGAAGTTCCGAATTGAAAAGTTTGATGGTACAAATTTCAGTTGGTGGAAGATGCAAATTGAAGATTTGCTGGTTCAGAAAGATTTAGACGTGGTATTGGGTGACAAGCCAGAAAATATGTCGGATGCAGATTGGGCAGGTTTGGATCGGAAAGCAATGTCCGTGATCCGTCTCTCGTTGACCAAGAATGTTGCGTTCAACATTCTGAAGGAGAAGACAGCGAAGGAATTATGGAAGCGCTGTCTAATATGTACGAGAAGCCATCTGCAGCTAACAAAGTTTTTTTGATTAGAGAGCTGGTGAACACAAAGATGAAAGAAGGCACTTCAATTACCGAGCATATCAACAAGTTGAATTCGATCTTAGCCAGACTTTTGTCAGTGGGCATTAAGTTCGATGATGAAGTTCAAGCTTTACTACTGCTATCGTCTTTACCTGATAGTTGGTCCGGAACGGTTACGGCGGTTACCGGTTCAGTGGGACCTGATGGATTCACCTTTGATCAGATTCGAGATCTCGTTCTTGGCGAGGATGTCAGAAGAAAGAGTTCAGGGGAGTCATCTGATGAATTGCTTCATGTTGGTAGAGGCAGAAGANGGGCATTTTAGGAATCAATGTCCGAATGATAAGAAAGTAAACATTGCTCAAGGCTCTGCGAGTGACGAGGAGGTCGCTCTGACTTGCTGTGAGGAAAGCAATGTGGATTCCTGGGTCATGGATTCTGGTGCTTCATTTCATGCCACCCACAGCGGTGAAGCATTGCAGAATCTGGTTATTAGAGACTTTGGAAAGGTACGACTAGCGGACGACAGAGCTCTTGAGGTGACGGGCATGGGTGACATGGTGTTGAAGACCTCAGTCGGTTTCTGGACTTTGAAGGATGTTAGAGTGGTTCCAGCCTTGAAGAAAAGTTTGATTTCTGTCAGGCAGTTGGACGAACAGGGACACGAGGTAAAGTTCAGAGATGGGCAGTAGAAGGTCGTGAAGAGAAATCTTGTCATAGCCTGTGGAAAGAAGAGAGGTTCGTTGTACATGGTCGGGTTACCATCTGAGGGAGTGACCGTCCCAGTTCAGAAGAGAAACAAAGTCCGGTTCACAGAATCTCGTGGGCAGAATAAGGTTGTCTGTGCAAGAGAGAAACCTAGAGCCACTGGTCAGACTCAGGATGAACGAGCGTGGAAAGGTTCAAGGGGGCCAGTCAGAGGTATTTATGGCAGTGGGAGCTCAAGAGGCGCTTCAGCCAAGTTGCCTAGAAGACAGTGGGCCAGGAGAACCAGTATTCCAGCTGTTGGAACATCTCCAGAAAATTTCTTGCTGAGTATGGAGAGTGTTTGTTCTCAAGATGTTCCAGGATCCGGCAGTGTGCGTCTGCAGTGGGAGCCGGTAGGGACCGAGGACGAGTCAAGGTCAGATTTTGCCGTGACTGATGTGTTGGAGCTTGGGAGAGCTTCAACGGGCCTTTCAGTTGTCTGATGTTAGGGCCGCTGCAATAGGAGAGCTGAGGAAGATTACTCGATGTACAGGGAATCGTGGTGGATGGCAGTTGATGACTATCAAGCCTCCAAGTGGGAGAATGTTGGGTTTGTGGAGGCTTGGGCTTGATTTTTGGCCCGGCCCATTTTACGGAACCCTAGATGCACTCTTCCTATATATATTGCATTCTTGTACTTGTAATCTGCACCACAAGTGAAATAAGAAAATCCTCCCGTTGCAGCCGTGGATTAGGGAAACCGAACCACGTTAAATTCTTGTGTGTCGTTTGTGTTCCGTTTCTCTCTTGATTCTTGCAGATTATTTGTGTGTGTTGTGTGTTTAGTTCCCAATAGATTGGCAATAAAAACTTCTATTTTCTTGCATTATCTATTTTTAATCATTTTCTAAAATAAAATAAAAATGTCAACTCTTGTTTGATATAGTATTTAATTAAAACATTTTTTTTTGAAAATTACATCAATAATTAGATAAAAATGGAATACAATTTTGAACCTTTCAACCGATCTTAAACCACAATAGGAACTTTTTTAGTGACAGAAGAGTAGGAAAATTTGGTTTAAATATTTGATAAAAAACACTCAACAACTAACCACTTCCAAACAAGGCCTATCTCTAGAAAAGTCATTTATTTTTTGGATAATAAAGATTTAATTTGGAGTATACAATATGACGAAAAGAAAAAAAAATCAATCATCATTTTATATTTTCATTCATTCTTTAACTGAAAGGTCATATTCCTCAACATACACTAAAGTCTTAGCAATAAATTCCTACATTTGTTAAGAAATAAGAATGTGAAATTTCCCTTTTTTCCAGCCATCTTTTTAGCTTCAATTCACTTTAACAGAAATATATTGCAACTAACCATACCTCTCCTCATCCATTTTCTCGTTTCACATTTTTTCCCCTCTTAAAAAGTGCGAAGTAGCACATTTTGTCATGCACTCCATGTCTTGAGTGTGGCATTCCACATCCCTTTTTTTATTTTTTTTTATTTTTTAAATTTTTTATAAAAATAAGCATTTTTTTATAAAAATATATTTTAGCAGAGGTTATTATAATTATAATATAACCCCAATTTTTGGAGGACTATCGTGGGAAAAAATCTTAATTATTATAAAGTATCATAGAGGTATTTATTATTTATTGAAGACTATCGAGGAAAAATATCTCAATTATGAAGTACCATATAAATAATTATTGCTTATTGAGGGTTGATTTCGGAAAACACATTAATAGAAATTATCACTTTAGAAATTTACACTTAGTTTTAATCTTGTGCTTCACTAGAGCTCATAAAAGATTGTTATATTTAACTTTTCTTAATCCGACGATTTTACAATGTATAGAAAAAAATAAATTTAGTTATATATAATGTAATTTTAATATCATTAGACTCATTTTACAATGTTTTTGTATACGGAGTATCATTTTTATACTGAATAACACTAATTTATATACAAACAAATTATTAATAATTAAAATGTTGCATGCATGGGTGACCAAGAGGGAGGGAGCCCTATTTTTAATAGTAGGGAGTGTGTTCTTCTCTATAAATAGAGTGACATTATTATTGTGAGGCATTCCTTCCATGGTACTAATAGATAACATGCCAAAAATGGCCACCCTCACCAAGGAGCTCTCCACCTTTCAAATCACCATTACCACACTCATTCTTGGTTTGTCAATGGCTTTCTTTGTTGTCACTCTTGGAATGTTCATCAACCATAGGTACAAGAAAATCATGGTCTTTGAAGACATTTACCTCCCTCTACATGATTTAATACCCACACTCCCAAACAAGAACTCATGTCAACATGCTGATTTTAACAATAGCTACAACAACGTCACAGTTAAGAATCAGTTGTCTCTGGAGAACGCGTGGCATTCGATGAGCGACGATGAGTTGCTTTGGAGGGCTTCGACAACGGCGTCGTCTCACGCAGGAGCATGTTCGTCGCATAACGGAAGGGTGAAGGTGGCTTTTATGTTCTTGGCAAGGGGGAGATTGCCATTGGTAGCTCTTTGGGAGAGGTTCTTTAGAGGGCATGAAGGGCAATTCTCCATTTATTTTCATATTTCTCCAAAGTTTAGATATGATGAGCCTCCTCAATCTTCTGTCTTCTACAAACGTAGAATACCAAGCAAGGTTTTTTCCCTCCAATCTTCACTCTTTTTTTTCATGCAATAATCCTTGAGTTCTTATATACGGTGTACATCCTTATTAGAATATAAAACCTTTCTTGCTCTTACAAATACAAGCTCCAACATTTTTTTCCATGAAATAAAATTAATGTTCGTGTATAAGACTCGAGAAAAAACAAGAGTCTCGCCTACATTTTTGGTTTTGTTGTTAATAACATTTTGAATCCGTGAAAGGATAATATAAAATTGTAAAAAAATGCACTTTTACACGTACTCGGAGCATGCACTTTATATAACTACTTTATGTACAATTACAAGTTACATGTAACATTTTGTTGTGACGTGTATGCAAATATGCAGCCAGTGCAATGGGGAAGGCCAAGCATGATAGACGCGGAGAGACGTCTCCTAGGCAACGCTCTCCTCGACCACTCCAACCAAAGATTCGTCCTCCTCTCAGAATCATGCATTCCACTATTCAACGTCACCTTCATCTACGACTACCTCGTCAACACCAACCAGAGCTTCCTCGGGTCCTTTGACGACCCAAGCAAGGTCGGGCGAGGAAGATACAACAAGAGAATGCATCCCAGAGTCGCCCTGTCCGATTGGCGAAAAGGGTCCCAGTGGTTCGAAGTGGATCGTGAGCTCGCGATCCGAATAGTGTCTGATGTCGTTTACTATCCCGTTTTTAGAGACCATTGTCGGCCACCGTGTTATGCAGACGAGCATTATTTGCCCACACTAACCAACATTCTTTGTCCGCAGTCAACGTCAAAACGGAGTGTTACGTGGGCAGACTGGTCGCGGGGCGGGTCCCATCCGAGAACGTATATGGGGAGGGATGTGAGGGAGGAGCTTTTAAATGGGGTAAAGTTTGGATATAATTGTAGTTACAATGGTAGAATGAGTAATGTTTGCTTTCTCTTTGGGAGAAAGTTTCATGCTTCCACCTTGCAACCTTTGCTTAGCTTAGGCACCAAAGTTCTTGGCTTTAACTGAACTTTTTTTTACATTTCTATATTTGTTCTATAGCAATATGTGTTAGTGATTAGTAGATAAATTCATATTTTTACTTACATTTTCCAATCAATCACATAAGTTGGTATATATTGTGGCATAAGGGATGGTAGATGTGTAATTTGTTTCTTCAAATGTGTGGTGGAGCTAAATAATGACTGGAAATTGGACAAAACAATCCCACAAAAAGCCTTCTTATAGGCCACTCTATAAGTTGCCCTTTCAATTATTGAGAAAATATGTTTACATAAAAATAATGATCATAGATACATACATATATTGTGCAAGAATGAGGAAGAAGTAACAAAAACCATAGATACACCGGATCGAAAATTGTATGGAAAATGCTACTTTAACCCCATGAATGACATCAAGTTTGACACCATTATGGACAATCACGTATAGATATTTATTGTATGTAAAACACTGCTCGTGTCGACCTTGTTGTCATCCGTGGTGTGACTGTATCACGATCCAAATTGTATTACGGGGAACGGAACAACCCCTAAGTGACTTTGACTCCACTCGGTCGTTTCCCTTCCATTGCATCCTTCTTGATGCGACAATCGGCGCAAAGAAATGGGCCTTGCCATGGCTTCGAGCCCGTGGCGAAGATGGACCCCGCATGCACCGATATGCCTTCACTCGCGGCTATGTCAACCTGGCAAACCGCACATATGAACAGACCCGACATTGATGAACCGTTTGTATCCTCTTCGCTCCCCAATCTGCCCAAACCCCATAAGAATAGGGCAATGAAAAAAAAGACAGAACACATTCAAAATCCCATTGTGGAACCACAAAATTGTTGAAACATGAAATGAATTTGAAAAGAGAACAAAATGGCAACCTATCAGCAAGCATGGCAGACCCTTGCTCAAACAACTCCTCAACAATGCCGACGGCCGCCATCTTTTTGGACGGTTTAGCGGCGGATTTCTTTCTGAACAATAGTGCTTGAAGCTTGTTATACTTCTTCGGGGCAACCGCAGGTGGGACGGCATTTTCGGGAGGCGGTATTATGTCAACCACTATGCACGTCGTGTCGTCCTTCAACCCGCGCGTCCTCAATGCCTCCTAGGCAAATCCAACAAACAAAATACTTCCAATTATAATTGGTTGTGATATTCGAACTCGTGACTTTCCAAGGTTTCGGTACGATGTCGAAGAACCAGCCCAACCAAAATCCCAATCTTGTGATTGTAGGCCCAAGAAATGTTTTATAATTAACATAAAAGAACTTTAATACCTTAACTACTTGACGAGCTGCGAGCTCAGCAGGCAATCCACGAGAAGATTTAGCGGCGACCTCCGAAGGCAAAGCATCCCATATTCCATCCGATGCGATTATTAACCGCCCGCCTACATTCGATAACTTTTAATTTTTTCCATAAAAAAACAAGAAAATATTAGGAGCCATGCCAAGAGATTGTAAGGTGGTATCATCAAGTGCATCATTACAACATCAACAAATTACCTTTACTTGTTTAACGTATGGGATTGGAACTATGAATTCTCCTACATCCATGTCCCCTATGGATCTCGAAAGACATAACCCTCCCGGCCAACAACGAAGAGGACCAATCTGTAATGGCATTTCAGTGGACTTAGCACAAAAAGATAATTTTTTGCCAAACGGGCACTAAGTCGAATCGTGCACGAAAAAAACCAACCTCAGCACCACCAAAAATGTTTAGCCTCCCTACTTCGCCCCCACTCGCCGTGACACGTTCCCTTCTGAAATAAGGAAAGAAAGAGTGAAATTGTTTAGGATATAATATAGTCCCACATCTTAAACTCAAGGCAAACATATATAAGAATATAAGTTACTTCTTGCATTATCAATTGGTTTTGGGTTGGAATCTCTTAATTCTACATAAATGACATGCGCACACTATGTTTGGTTCAAGGAATTAGGAAGGAAAAAAAAGAAAATGGTTTTCTTTCATTTTCCTCACAAAAACGGGAGGAATTTTCTCTTAGTACATTTTGCTTTCTCATTTTCTTTTACATAGACTTTTCTTTTTTTTATCTCTCTCTAACCCAACAAGAAAAACCGTTTTCCATCTCATTTTCTTTTTCCTTTCAAAATTCTTTGATCCAAACATAGTGGTAGAGAATAGTCAGCTTACTCCTCCACATTTTCTTCAAGCCTGTGATCTACCGTCAATATCGCCACATCAGCACCCGGAGTGTCTAAAATGCACCGGGAGTCTCCCACGGATGCAACCGTCACGGTCCATCCATCAACTACCACAAATGTTGCAGTGGTGCCAGAGGTTTTCCCTGCAACGATTCATCAAGTACATCTAATAATCATTTCCTGAGCCTACAGGTAGAATCTTTTGATCGAGTTGGTTCCCTAACGAATTGGAAGAAAAAAACCATTAAAATCACATGCCTTTCCTCTGGAACTCCTTGTCGGTTTTCACAAAACCGGCAACAAGTGCCCGGGGTAGCGCTTGAAGCCACTCATCTCGGTTTAAGCCTCGCGGAATTGCACTTAAAATGTGAGCTAATAGGTAATCCCTTGAGAACACTGCTGCTGCATTCCCATTATGCCCATCAAATATCTGGGAATGAATTAAACAAAAAAAAACTTGGGTATATGTTGAATAGCATTTTGCTTCGAAATAAAAAAACGAAAACTTATGATCCTGAAAGGATCAAAATACAAGAATTTATGTTGACAAGGGCATGAAGGACTAATTGGCATACCCCAAAGACAGAGAAAGATGATGAAGGGCTTCCGGAGACTCTCTGGCAATCAGTCTTCATCATGAAACAATCCTCTCCTTTCTTAGACTGTGCAGAACAGCCATACCTCAAGCTTGGCCTCTCCATTTTTTCACTCTTTAACTCTCTACTAATTAGTGCAGCTAATGGGACAAGATCATCATTTCCCCCCTTCACTTCCCTTGTCCCCATTATTTCCAAAAAAAAAACTACAAAACCCCCTTTTCTATAAGATGAACAAATTCAATCATCACAAGAGAGGAATTCACATTTCTTGATAACAATCACTTCTGCACAATACCCATTTCAAATTTCTCTTTGAATTCCAGGAAAATAGAGTAATCTTTTTTACACCTGCAGACAAAAAAAAAACCTTTTTCCTATAAGAACAACAAATTCTGGATGAAACCCTATTTTCTATAAGAAGAACAAATTCAATCATGACAAGAAAGGATTCAAATTTCTTCGTGAAAACAACTTCTGCAGAATACCCATTTCAAGATTGTGTTTGAATTCCAGAAAAAAAAATGTAACCTTTTCATACCTCCAGAGAGGGAGATGCAAAGAAAGTGGAGATGCAGAGATCTGATGGTGAGGGGGAATTGGGATTTCAATCTCTAGGGCATTAATTCTGAGGATATTGCTAACAATTCCGTTCAGAGAATAATAATAATTGAATAATGAAAGCAGACGTACAAGAAAAAACGCGTGTTAATGACAGGGATTGAAGTGTAATGACTGACAGATTAGCCAAACCAACAAGAAAGCCCTAATAATGATTAATTAAATAATTACTCCATCTTTAAATTTTTTTAATTATTTCATTTAGAGATTAGTATATAAATAAAAAAATTAAATTTAGATATTTAAAAATTACATAAAATATTCTTCAAAACAAGATGTTAGCAATAGCGTTTTGAAAAGACTGTCTGACGGTAACTTTTAACGTTAGTGTTTTCAAAATTAATCTACATCATTAAAATTTTATTCAAAATGCTAATGCTAATTGAAAACGTTGTTTCCAAACAAGACCTAAATTACTCCGTATTATACATTTGTAGAATAAATTATAGACCAAAATAACATTGTGGAGATGCTTTTTAATATGGGAGGTTTAGACTTTGGGATTAGAGAGAAGTCATTAGTCCCCTTAGAAAATTCTCGTCTTCTTTAAGAAATATCAAAAATTTGTTTAACGATATTTAAAAAAAGTATTGAACAAAAATAAATATATAATTGTAATAAAATAGAGAAATGTTCTGATTCATATATGATATTTTTTAAGAAAGGTACATCATATATGAAAGGCTCATTTCTAATTTTCTATTCGCAGTCAAAACTAAAAGAAGCACCGACGTAAGTTTTAAAACTATTGGTAATAACAGTGCACACTTATCCAACCACATAGGGTATTGATACAATAAACTAACATTAATATTCTTAAAATTACATGATTTTACATTATACTCCGTAATTCATAGGTTCAAGTATTCAACACAGGGAGCCGTTGCTCACTTTTTTATATGTTTACATTAATGTTCCATCGATCGTTGATCGAGCCACTGCATCGTTCTCCGAGTACCGATATAAAAATATACTCCGTATTAATTTTGGGAATGCTGAAACACCGATTAGAACGTATAAAATTCAAGAATTAATGATGTCATTTATCGAATTTATTATTATTAGTCCATTATTTTCAAAAAGACACCAAAATGATCCTTTTCATCCAAGAGCAGAATCAATACCAAACACTACACATATAATCACCTCAACGTACGGAGTACAAGTGTACAACAACAAAAATCTGATTCTGATTCTGAGTCTTTAAAGGAATCAGAATCAATCCCAAACACCTCTAACCCATGTCAAGTCTGCAGCATTATTGTTTTATAGTCAATGAGCATGTTCATTAAATTTATTAGTTATATGAATACAGTTATTGTCAATACAATTGAATAATATTTCAATTTTGGAGAGAGAAAATATTTCAACTTATTAACTTTTGTTTCTCAGTTTTCAAAAATAGCTAAAAAAAACAGACACTTTCAAATACTTCCTCCGTCCAATAAAGATATGGACATATTGACTAAAGTGGTAAAATAAGAGAAGGATAATTTTGTGCTGATTTTCCAAAAATGTCTTTGATTTGATTGGTAAAAGTATGATGTGATGTGTAGATTATTTTAAAAAAAGTATGATGTGATAGGTAGGTTATGGAAATGTAACGGGCAAAAGTGGATTTTTAATAAAAATGGAAAGGACTTTTGGGAAGAAGATTTTTTAGAAACGTAAAAGGCTTTTTTGAGACGAAAGGAGTATATAAGTGAGAACCATTTTTAAAACCAAGTCCAAACACCCTCTTAGTCAATGCTACTTGTGCTTGGAGCCATATTAGATTTACTACTACCCCATTTTTGAATCACAGAAATGGGAGAATTCAAAGCCTTCTCTGATTCAAGAGAATGAGTAATAATCTCCACACTTAATGTTGTTGTTGTTGTTGTCGTCGTCGTCGTCTCCTTTTCCTTTCGAATCTCGACCAATCTTTGTAGAACTTCCGCCATTGTAGGCCTCATTTCCTTGTTTGGTTGCAGACATTGGAAACCCAACGCTGCAACCGAACTCGTTGTCTTTCTGACCGAATCATCTGATTCAAATCCGAAAGACCGGTCCACCAACTCGTTCACTTCCCCGCCCAAAATCCGTTTCATCGCCAAGTCCGCGAGATTGATCTCATCGCTATTCCTGTTCACGTCCACTGCAGGCTTGGAAGATATGAGCTCGATGAGAACGACCCCGAAGCTGTACACGTCGCTCTTGTCTGTGAGATGGTAACACTTGTGGTACTCGGGGTCCACGTACCCCGGGGTGCCCTGCGGCCCAGTCGAGACATGCGTGACGTCACTCGGGAAGAGCCTCGAGAGCCCGAAATCCGCAACTTTCACCGAGAAGTTGTTGGTTAGGAGGATGTTAGAGGTCTTGACATCGCGGTGGATAATGCCGGAAGCGTGGAGGTAGGCCAACGCTCTCGCTGTTTCCACCGCGATGTCCATTCGGGTTTGCCATTGCAAACGACGAGTACCGTTCGAACATTTCCCGTGGAGGTGATCCGAGAGCGTGCCGTTGGGGACGTACTCGTAGACGAGGAGGAGTTCGGGACCGTGCTTCGACGTGCACCCGTACAAGGTGACGAGATTCGGGTGCCTCATTCGGGCAAGGATCTCAATCTCATTCACAAATTGCTCCTTTCTCTTGTGACTATGGCCGAAGAGATACTTCACCGCCACCTCTCTTCCGTCCGGCAGTTTCCCTGCATCATATTATTGATTTTGCAATGAAATCAATATTGCATTGTAAATTTCAAAAATAAATTTTTTTTTTGAAAAATGTCTTATGTGTACAAGATAAATCTAAATAAATCATTTTTGTACTAATATCTAATGCAATTTCATTTTTTAAAAAATTGATGATAAAGTTTGTTGCTCAAATTAGACGTCTTTCGGAAACAATCTCTCTACTTTTGAAGGTAAGGTTTACACATCTTCCCGGACTCTGCTTTCGTGTAATTCTACTGGATTTTGTTATTGATGATACCTATATTGGGAAAGTCATTATATTTAGTCCTATTTAGGTAAATTTCAATGATAAAAATTCGTCTAGTTTGATGGTAAAACGTAAAAATGGACAATGACACTAATTATAAGACAAATGAAGTTTAGATAACTAATTCAACAAAAAAGTTCAAACTTGTAGATGATTATACGACAAAGAATATGATTAAATTATACTCAATAAAAGACTAAATAAATAGGGTAATAACTAATGATTAATTAACTCCCAAAGCAAAGATTATAGGAAACAAGAAGGGCTCTCTTACCATAGTAAACAGTCCCAAAACCTCCATTTCCAAGTTCTCTAGAGGAAGCAAAATGGTTTGTGGCCTTCTCAAGCTCCTTGTGGGTGAAGATGGGAACTCCATAGTCCTTTCGACTCCCCTCCGACGACTTGCTTCTCGAAAAATTAGCGTATACAGATTTACGACGACGCCTTCTCTTATAAATCATCACAATCAATATTGTACAAAAGAGGATACCCACAACCAATGCAGCCACACCTAAAACTGATAATCATAATTATACACAAATTATAAGCACAATTTGCAAAAAAAAAATACTTAATTTTTGGAGTAGGAAAAAGGAATGTGAGGAAAATTACATAGTTCATATAAAACGTGTACCTGCTTGCAGCAATAGTCCGGAATCTACTTTTCCTACAACGAGATTTAAAAGGACAAATTAGGTAACGGCCATGCTAGAAACCCACCACTGTTGCATTCACAAATGACAGTTACAGATTGTAACTAATGACCGAGTTTTACTGTTGTAAAAATTCAAAATTGTTATTGAAGGTCTATGGATGTTTTTAGGCAAAAATAAATTGTTACTGTCAAATTTGTGATTGTATACCAGAAAATTTATTTTATATTCTAACACGACCTTTTACGTGTGGGCTAGTTTTTTTACTTGAATCTTACATGTGAAAGTCAATTGTTTTGAAGTTAGGACATGTTCTTTTGGGAAAAAAATGAAAAAAAATGGAAAGAACTGAAAAAAGTTTTAAAAAAACTCGAATGAATTGTAAAAAAAACTCGAAGGGGCTGAAAAATGTTACTCGTAGATGTTTTCAAACTCAAAAGAACATACATTTAGTGGTGATGATATTCGAACTCGAGTCATGACTTTTAGGTCAGCATGCAAGACCTCGATACTATATCAAAGATCGAAATCAACTCAATCCAAAGTTCAAATTTATGATTGTAGGTTTAGGAAAAAAAATTATACAATTATAGTCCAATATAAATTCATTTCACATGTGTACCTTTGGAGCAGCGGTACCTACGGGTGCGATCAACAATGCATAAACCTCCTCGGTCACGACACTCACTACAATCCGCAGACAAACTCCACTCCAGCAAAAAAGTCGCATTTACCAAACCAAAGGGGCCTTCGCCAAGTGGCATGTTCTCGGTGCTCAGTGGGATCGGCAGATGAATCCGAGAGCACCCAGCCGGGGGGACGAAACCGTGCCCCCCGACATAACCAAAATTTTGACCCTCGTACGGTTTTTTGTAGAACACCACAAAACCCCCCGCCGTGCGACCGCTGCATTTGTCGTACCTCTGGAAACCATTGAAATGGCCATTCATCGTCCCATTCTCGTTCTGGCTATTGTCATGCTAAAATCAGACCAAGTTAGTTTCAGTTACCAATTGATGGAACTTCAATGATTCATGTGTAGTAATATTTCTTTCTGGTCTCATAAAAACTCCTTCCTTCGGATTACTAATTACGGATATCACTATTTTGTGTTGTTTTTAGTAATAAACAAAGACTTCAATTCCAATTCTGATGTTTGGTAGCACATAAATTATGTGGATTTGAAATTGATAATGCAAAAAATGAATTGCAATTGGTGAATTCAATTCGATGGAATTGAATCTCATGGAATTTTAATTCCAATTCCATTAATTTTGTATACCAAACGGATCCTAAGTGAAATTTGCACTGAATAAGATTAAAACCTAAGTCATTTCCCAACGTAAGACTTAAACTTTTTTATTCTCTAAATAGGACTTAATAATGACTAGTGAGAACAAGAATGTCCAAGTAATGTTGGACATTTAGTTAAATAATAACTAATAGATAATAATTAATGGTTCTACATTGGAAAATAAAAACATATGATCCTATATTAAGAAAGTCATTATGTTTTAGTCCTATTCAGGTAAATTACCCGTACAAAATTTGAAAATCAAATTTGTATGTTTAAAGACTACATCAAATGATTTATAATAGAATAAGTTACATGAATATACTCCCTCCGTCCCTTAAAACATTTCTCCCTTTTTTTCATCCGTCCCTAAAAACACTTCTCATTTCTATTAAAAAGTCACTTTTACCCCTTACTTTTTCATACCCTACCTATCACATCATACCTTTTACTAATAATCTATCCATCAAATCATACTTTTACCCATCACAGCAAAGGACATTTTTGAAAATTCAATACCAAAATACGCTTCCCTTAAATCCCTCTTCAAAATCAAAGCTCTCATGTTTTTCGGGACAAAGGGAGTACTATTTTAACAAATGCGAAGTAATTAACCAAAACCGATATTCAAAGAAGAAAAAACTTGACCAAGACAATTTTATACTTCCTCCATCCCGATATTGATTATAGTTTTTTAGGACCTATATTTCTGGTAACTTTTGTTTGTTTGTATATTTTTTTTATTTGATAAAATAATTAAATCGTTCTTATCACTTTTTGGTTTGTAAAATTTTCAATGTAGTTTTTTAATATGTAAATTTTATTAATTATCATTATGTCAATTTTTAAATAAATAAATTTTTGAAAATACAAAATTTTGTCTTGTTAGTAAAAAAATGTAATATAATTTGGCAAGAAGGAAGTAAGATATTTAGGTTTAGCTACTCTAAAGTCTAAAACATTGTACTCCCTCGGTGGTCAATACCATTATACTACCATATCTTTTTTCACAACTTGATTTTTATGAAATATATATTTAAATTTTTACCATAACTTACGGGAAAAAATATACTTTTTTCAAGGAACGAACTTAACCAAAAGTCGTTCAAGCTTGTAGTTGTGCTCCAAGAAAGGTTTTTAATACTCTAACACGCCCCATCAGATGTAAGCGTGAATTCTCCGAACCTTATGCGTGAAACCATAACTTTTTTTCTAAACTAGGTGGTGCTGAATTTCGAAGATGTGACCTCTTAATCATCAAAGCTCCGATACCATGTCAAGAGACCAACCCAACCAAAATTTCAAGCTTGTGGTTGTGGTTCAGGAAAGATTTTTAATACTCTAACAACTTCATTCGTCCTTAAATTAACTTTCCGTTTCGGCTTGCGAAGCTTGATCAACTTCCTTTTCAATTTAATTTATGGGTAATTTACTTAAATAGGACTAAAACATAATAATTTTCTCAATATAAGACCATATGTTTTTATTTCTCAATGTAGAACCATTGATCATTATCTATTAGTCATTATTTAACTAAATGTCCAGCATCACTTAGACATTATTCTTCTCATTAGTCATTATTAAGTCCTATTTAGAGAATAAAAAAATTTAAGTCCTACATTGGAAAATGACTTATGTTTTAGTCTTATTCACTGCAAATTTCACTTAATTTATTTGATTATAGATGTAAAATTTAAAAATAAAATCAATATATTTCGTATTTAAAAACTAAACATAAAATTCTATCATATAAATTTAGATATGGCGTGACTATATTATTTTATCAAATGACTAATGAAAATAAGTCATGCATATGAATAGAGTTTAATCGTATGAATAATAACAAGAAAGGTAATTTAGAACGGAATGTCAAGGAACCAACTCAACTACAAGCTCAAGCTTGTGGTTGTGGCCTAGGAACAGTTATTTATATTCTAACACGCCCCCTCACGTGCAGACGTAGTCTTTTTCGAGACTTGCACGTGAAACCTAAATTTTTTTAAACTGGGTGGCGCTGAGTTTCGAACCCGTGACCTCTTAGTCAACGAGGCTCCGATACCAGGTCAAGGAACCAACTCAACTACAAGTTCAAGCTTGTGATTGTGGCCCAGAAACAGTTATTTATATTCTAACACGGAAGGAGTATTTAGTTGTGATATGAAGTCAAATTTTGATATAAAATTAATATCAATAGTATAATTTTAAAACTCGAGTTGAAAATATCATATTTTAGTCGTAGATGATTTCCTTTTATGAGAGTAAAAAATCAAAAAAAATTACCTGATTGAAATGGCATCTGAACAAAGTCAAATTGGGAAAAACCTCATACGATATGGCGGGCGAAACCGGGAGCGAGAAGTTCTGGTAGAAAGTCCGGCAGCTCTGGCCGGAAAGAAGCCGTTCGAGGCGGCGGTCAACCACCCTGAGGAAGAGGCTCTCCCTCGCCACCACCTCGTACACTCTCCCGCCGCCCAAATCCAGCTCCGGGTACGGCGTCGCAGAGCAGTCCAGCTTGCTCAGGCCGCAGTGGGCCCACGCGGCTCCCGGGTAGAACGGGAACCCCACCCTGCCCAGATTCCCGCAGGCGAAATCGGGTTCCGGGCAGCCGCGATCCTTCTTCCTGGCTTCCGGCGAAAGGAATTCCGTGAAAATCTGACAGATGATCAAGAAACAGGGGAAGCTGCAGTAGAGTCTCGCCGTCGTCATCACGGCGGCGGAGCTGACGGAGTCTTCTTCTTCAACCGCCGTTTACCGGTAGTTATTACGTGTTTATATTATAGCAGATGTTTTTTTTTCTTCTGAGAATTGATTTATGATTGTTTCTTTAAGTGTACGTTTGGTGAACGGAAGAGACGACACGCAAGTTTGACTATGGGAGTTTTGGGATTAGAAGGGAAAGAGAGATAGAGACTTTGACAAATGGAAGTAATTGATATGTTTAAAAGGTAACTTCCGAAATCGAATGGGTAGCAAATGCAACTAGCTCCAAATATATAGCTTCCGCCTTACTGCCATATGCAACTTCCGACCTGTAATGAGTGTCCGGCGTTGGCCCCGTCTTTCGAGTAGCGCAGCGCAGTGGGTCTTTTCCTCACATTGTAAATGTTGGGTATAATTTTACTTTCGAATGAGTTCAATTTGTATAGTAAAGAACGTAAAACTTTGTCTGGAAAAACAATCACCGTTGTATAAGTACAAGTACTTCATACTCCGTATTATATATATGGAAGTAGTAATTCGCTTACCTTTTAACATGTCCTCTAAAAAAATTGCATTTGGATAGTTGATGAATACTTGAAAGACTACTCATGGACTTTTAAAATCTGAAGAATTGCACGTGGATAGTTCGAAATATATCCCAAAAAGAAGAAAAAAAAGAAAAAGAACTTTGAACTTTGAAGTAGGAGACAAAGTGGAATTTCTTTATCCTCATTGACCGCAGTATAACGCGGGATCGAACCCTTCCTTACTTTCTCCTCTAACTAATTGTGTGACATACGGCTACTAAATAAAATTACGTGACATATATGGAGTATTGAAAGTGACAAAAAAAATACTTGAAACTTGTGTTAATTTAATTAATACACCCTCCCGAGTAATTATAAAGGTGAATAGCATAAAATCGACAAATTAGCCCATTTGGATAAATAAATGATTTAATATACGGCCCGGTTCTAGTGACACTGGAGAATGGTGCCACTAGCGGTGCTACTGCGTTTTTGGGACACCTCCGTTGCTCTGTTCGTAAAACTGACGGTTCCTACCCCACCTAACCCCCCCCACCCTGCCCCCACCCACAATTAGTTAAACCATAACATATAATTTCATACAAACACCATACTATATATTACATATCTCCATTACAAATAGCCCAAAACTAATGACGCGCAGTACAACAACATATATGGAATATATGAAGTATATTATATATGGAACAAAATAAATAGGCCCCTTTTACTTGGATAATACATATAGATATTATATGATATAATGAAGCATATAAAATGCATCATCATCTATTACATATATAAATACTATCTCCATCCCATAATATTTATTCAGTTCGATTTTTTCAAATAAATTGGACAAATTTTGGCCATTAATTAAATAAAAATTGCATAGCCCATTGTGAGAAAGATAGATGATTTCAATCCCTTGGGAGAAAACATTCTTTCATTGTCTACATATTACCGCGATGCAATTTTTATGTAATTAATGATTAAAATTCATCCAGTTCAACTTGAAAAAAATCAAACTGAATGGTTACCATACCGTAGACACTTGGTCTAACTGCAGCGAGGGGGAGAGATTTTACAAGCTGTGGCAACCTTGTGTGCATTAGGAGAGGTGAAATACTTTTTGAGATTTGGGTTGTGCTTGTATTGGCAAAGGCAATTCTTTTGTTGCTTGAGCTCTCTACAACACATCCTTGTAGGACCAAGTTTTGGTGACGTCATGGCAGCCGCGCAAGGGGACAACTTTGAGGGATTGCAGGTATTACTATTGGTCGCAGCAGCCACGGCCACTGTGGCCGTGGCGGCTGCAGGTTCGGCAACCCCGGTGGTGGCCATTAGCATGGCCACCACGAACATTGCACAAAGAACAATGGGACTAGTGTAGGAGTTCTTCATTCTTCTTAATAGAGGTATAAAGCTAATTTGGTTATGTGTTTGCTTTTTGTTTTTGGGAGGGGGGGGGGAGAGATGGAGTATATTATGGTTATAAGTTGGCTGTGAATGTGTCTATTTATAGCCAATTGCAAATGCTACATGTGCTTTAATTTGCACATTTTTAATTTTATGGAGATTAAGTGCCCCATTCGCAACCATTTTCATGCTTAAATTTATCGTTTTTAAAGTTAGTCAACACCATTAAAAATTAATGTAAAACACTAATACTAATTGAAAACGTTAATTCCAAATAAGGATTAAGAAAAATGCTGAAAAGATATTACAACAACCCAATGGAGTCCCAACATGGTTGGACTCTAACCTGGGTTGAAGCCATAGAAAAAGTTGTAAACATTGTTATCCAGATTCTAATGGAACCATTAGACCTCGAAGGTTGGCTCAAATGATAAATTGTACTGTTGAAGTTGATTTAATGATAAACATATTTGGTTTCAATTTTTAAAAAAAAGGCTCAAATGCATTGACGCATTTACTAACCAAAACTAAATGATTCCGAACACAACATTGTCCTACTTTATCTCTTTCACTTTGGGATTGGGACAATTAGGAATGGTTTGGAATGTCCAAATTTAAATGCTTTATAAATTTGAACCTAAAACTTTTTAATATGTTAATCTTAAAAACTAATTTAAAAATTTTATATAAACCATTCTAATAAATTTTCAAATAATAGTGTAATAAAACATATACAACATTAAAAAAAATAACATTTTAGTTTACAAATCTTATAAAATTGAATTGAAAAAAGTAACGTGAATGAATATTTGGGTGTAGACATAAATGCACTTCACAACAGGTTGGAACTAGATATTTTTTATCTATCTAGTCTCAATTCATTTTAAATCGGTTCGGGATAAAATCTATCGTCCCAAATGAAATGAGACATTATAAAAATGGGACCGGGATATTTCGGAATGGGATAATGTGATCAGAGTTTTTTTCCACCCCTGACCAGAACTTCATAAAGGAGTATATAGGAAGCAAGGTGAGTTTATTTTTCATTCTAGAAATATGTTAATAGTTAAAACTGAGTGGTTAGAATCTATTGTTTTGTACTACATTTTTTTTCTAGAAAAAATAAAAAGTGAAAAATTTAATTTAGAATAAATAATAAAGAAAAGTGAGAATTTCTGTGGACGGGAGGAATAAATTACTCCGTAGTTAAAAGTGGAATCAAGCCAAGAAGGAAGAATGATAAAGCATGGAAATGGAGGAAGAAAACAACAAAAGAAGGCATTGTGTAATGCATGCTCGCTCCCATTATGTTTCTTTTAATTTGTTTTGGGTGGTGCTATAATCAAGTGGTAATTTCACGCTTAATTGATTGACTAAATTATTCTAATCCGACCCTAGTTAAATAATACTACTATTCTCTATATATCTTTGCCTAATTTAACTCGAAAGAGTTACACTTGACAAATACACTGAGATGGAAATGATAATTTTTGTTATGATTAGTGCTTGTTTTGGACGGTTAGTTGTATTTTAAGTCTGAAATCTAAAGATTGAAATCTCTAATATGGATACTTCAATAATTTAGAATTTAAAAAATAATAGAGTTCTTTTAGGATTCGTTTGCAGAAAAAGAAGGCAGAGGATTGGGTTTGACGGAGGAATAACGGAAAATTCCTCCGCGGTCACTTTTCTAATATTTTAAGGTACCTCAGAGTGCATTTTAAAAACACGGGGTACCTGGTAGTTATTATCACAAAATATGAGGTACCTGACAGCAATTTTTTGTATAGAGAAGTCATTTTCTAGGAAGTCTTGTTAGGAACTACTCCGTATATTATTCTCTTCATTCACACTTGATCACCACCTCTTATTGCTAGGAGTTGAATCTGACCAAAACGCCCTTTGCACCGCCTCTTGACCACTTGAATTACACCCTCCAGGGGCCAATGAAAAACAAAACAGGAGGTGTTGAGGAGTGTTAAAATGTTCCACTAGCTGGACAAAAAAATGGATCATGGAGTCGCAGGTTAATAATGTTTTATGGTTGAGCATCTAATGGATTAAAAAGTCCATTCTTTAACTTTCACCATCTTTCACAAGGGTGTAGATATGAACAAAAACTACTATAAACTATGTAAAATCCCACGAACACGAGAGAGGTTATTTCCAAGAGACCTTCGGCTCAAACACAGGAGTACGGACGAAGAAAATACATTAGCACGAACATAAAACACACTGTTCTAAACTACAAACTAAGGCCCAGAGGTCTACCCGTGGGGAAAAAATAAGACATTTCATCGTATGTGTATAGAGACGAGAAATTACCGGGTTAAAATGATCACCCGATTCATCCATAATCTGTACGCGCTGTTCTTTCTCCGTTCTGTATCGAGTCAGCGAGTGATGGGATTTCAAGTCCCTTTGCTTTTCCTGATTTCGGTTGATGAAATATCCATACGGAATTCTTCTGCTGGTATTGAAATAAAAATGTCTTTCAGCTCCTCTGGAATGTCAAAGTCATCAAGCACCTGGAGAGGCCAATGGAATCAATTTCAAGCCCTGCTGAGCTTTTGGAACTGAACGGACAACAAAAACACTATAAAAAAGGAGATTTGATTGTGTGTACCTTAAAAACGCCATCCACGTTTCGGCCCCCCACCAGGAAGACACACCCTGAGTTCTTACATCCAATGAGTGTCTCCAACATGTTCCCATAGTCATTTCTGTAATACTTTGGCTGGAGAAAAAAGGCATAACCTACATAAGTTACGCCCTGCAATATATCTAACATACTTGCGTTGTTTTGTGATTTTCGTAAACATATAAATTAGCACCTTTAGTACTAAAAGATGAAAAATTAGAGAGAAAATGACAAAAAACAGACCGAATTGCAGTACAAATGAGAGATGAAAAATAAGCATGCAAAACACTAGTAAACTAAACGATGCACCATCTTATAGAAGCAACTTCAAATCCCTTACATTTCTAAGCCTTGCAACCGTATCTGCACCAATAACAAAAGCACTGCCAGGGAAAAGTTCTGCTTTTTTGTAAAAATATGGTTGGTTAGATATTATGACTGTCTTGCCTGCACATCAAAATGAACAAATTCTTTGGTCAATATGGGATCGTGTTACAAACCAGATCGGCAAAGCACTGATGCAAGGATTTTAGGAGGGATAATAGTATTACTGCAAATAATAGTACAAGCTTTGCGAACATATTCAGTTTGACAATGTTTTAACTTTGGGTAAATACTAAATAAAAATGACACATAAAACTCTGGGTAAATAATGGATGAAATCAAGATATACATTAAAGTGATTTAACATCCTTTGCTTTTTACTTTTTATGATGTTTTGGGTAGTAAATGCAGCAATGCATCAAGTGTCTAACGGAAACAGTTTCTCTCTTACAAGGTAAGGCAGCATACATCTTGACCCCAAAACCCTAATCGACTTGGGATTATATTGGGGTCTGTAACTTTGTTGTTCTATTCTCTTTGACAGAGATCAAGATAGATATTGATGGGGCATCTAACAGTCACAATAGTACCACTGTCAACAAGCAACCCCTATCTCTAACTTTAACCTTCCAATGCAATAAATTTTGTATAATCACAAAAAAAGTTGGTTCCAATGCTCTCAACTTCTCCGCCTCTCCAACTTGAAAACCTGATTTTTGTACTTGAGCATAATATATATTTTGTTTAAATCTTTACTTCCAAAATATTTCTGGGAACTACAGTGATAAATGCATACACACTCACCAACTTTTTCAAATTGTTTTACTCGATCTTTGATTTCAGATACTGTCAACGGAGGTTTGTCTGCATTGACTGCAGACAATTCAAAGCATGGATATCCACCGCCACAAATGCTGCAGAATGTAACAATGAAGACAAACGTGGTTATCTTCACTGGAAAAGAAAAATGACCAGGATAACACTTTTTACTTGATTAATTAACATATCATCGTCTTTCAAAATTAAGCATACATATCAATCTCAGTACCACAACTCCTTAACATTATCTAAAGAAAAGCATAAGACCCTTAATCTATGGACCAGTTTTATAACTCTTTTTAACCATTTCACAACAGTTTTGAAAACAATCTTTGAGGTGTTGATGAATGTACCTAGTTGCAACTTCCAAGAGATTAAGGTGACCATCATGCAAGGGGTTGAATGAACCAGACAGAATTATTTTCCTCTCTGCATTGACTGCATCACCACACAAAAAAAAGCTCTTAAAAGCTGCAAAAGGGAAACTTGGAGTTTAATGTATTGTAAACAGGTAGCACATACCACTTGAGAAGGGATAAACCTTAAATGATACTTGACCACTGATAACTTGCTCCAGCTCTTGGTCTTCATTAAATTGCCATCCAAGCTCAACAGGAATCTCTGATTCAGTTAAACCTGGAACAAAATTCTCTGAAACCTTGCATGCATTTGCTACTGCCTGCAGCCAAGTACATGTGATACCTTTATTTTAAAGAGATTCACTAAAAATGTCAAAAATGGAAAAGACTGACAAATGATATTAGCAATAACAATAATCAATTAAAAAGAAAGGTATAAATGATGGTATGAGGGAACAGTAATGCTACATGATGCCAAAATATATTCGCATTAGAAATGATGCAATTTTTTGCAGGTGTTAGACAACTACAGCCATTACATTATTTGATATGTACAAGCTTCAAAAACATGAACTGAAAAGCTACGTCTATGGAAGAGGAAATGATTAAACGTCAAACACTGAGACTTGTTGAAATGAAGTGCAACACAATAAGAGTGTAAGACTCAATAATTGAAGCCCAAATTATAAAACATTTCTAATTATTGATACATCCCTATATTTAGTAATTTATTTTAGGTATTGCAATATTGATCCTTTTTATGATAGCACAAGAGATAGAACGCACAAAAGCACTCTTTTTTGTGTATTCCATATATTTTGTATTGATAGACCACAAAATATCATGAATATGAATTAATATCCAATCTAAAATTGCTTCAACCAATATCTCCTTAAACCACAATATTAGAAGCAAGCAAGTCAAAACTAAGTGACAATGCAGAGCTCTATCAGTAGACATTGATAGAGGTTTATATGATTTATAGTCAGGATGCATTTTCCTGTTTTAAAATCAGTGAGCAATATCTTCTTTTCTTGCTAACATACGCCCTCCAGAATCAAAGTATCATTCATCACACACCTTAAGTAAGAACTGGCTTGAAACAAAATCTTCCTGCTCCCGAGTCCGCAGACCCTGAATTTAGCATTGATGGGAACAAAAACAATATCTTCATGACATCAGGTCCAAACTCAAGTATGCACAACTGCACAAGTAAAGATTGGCATAGATAGTTAGAAACATTATACCTTTGACAATGTAACTGTTGACACTTGCAGCCGTTGAGATGTCCTTGTAGACAAATGAAACCTTCCATAAAGCACAAGGTGAGCTCAATAACTATCTTATTATTTCTATGAAAATCATATATGAGGCTCACACAAAATCTCAACTTTAAAATGTTAAACCAGAATTGTATAACCAGAAATAAATGGAGGTACCTTTGTCAACAATAATTTTTTTTGTATGTTTTGTCTTTTTTATAAGGTTTAACAGAACTAAATACTCAGATTAAAAAACAAAACATTGGTTATAGCTATAAAAATATATTCTATTAACTTTTACGCTTGCAGAATCATTTTTGTATGAGCTGCCAGTAAGAAATCATTGCGGCATAAAATTCATATGCAGCCATATTTTTTTATAACTCTTAATATAGCAAAGCAAAAACATTTAATAATGAACAAATGACACTCAATAACTCTTATAGTCTTATACTAGCACAATCATTTAATATTTTTTTTATTTCCACTTGCAAGTAAGATATCATTAGAGAATATTGGCATAAAAAACATATTTGCAGACATTAATTTGTAACTCCTAGAAAGTGAAAAGAGATATTATCTATAGATCTTGTGTGTTAAAGACAAAGGAGATAAATGCCCGATTACATAGGCACTATAGACAACAAAAACAGTGGGCTGGAATAACATGTGTCACAAACCGTTACGAATTTTATTTAGGTCTTTCTAAACTATAAGATGGCATCATGAGAATAGCATAAAACTAAATCTTACTAGATGTTCATTTCATATGTTTTTCATTCTTTTAAGATTCATGATCAAGGATGAAAATGTCAATATTCATGGACATATTGGTACTTTTAATCTATGAAAATATCAACCATTTAATGTAATTAAGGTACAACTATGATAAGGCATTAATTATATTTATATTTTATACTTAATTTTTTTAGGTAGTGTTAATCCACTGGACCACGTGAGATGCGTGAAGGGCAGCGATGGTAGAGTGTTAGTTGAGACTGCCAAGGTGGCTAAGCGCTGGGGGGAGTACTTTAGTGAACTCTTAAATGCGGGAGGAGACCAGAGGCTAGTTCTTGATGAGTTGGGGCAGTCTGGGGCGTCTCGTGTGTATTGCCTGCGCATTTGCCTCGAGAGGTGGTTCAGGCTCTCTGCGGGATGCGTAGTGGGAGAGCTTTGGGACCAGATGAGATTCCGGTGGAGTTTTGGAAGCATGTGGGTCGTGGTGCGTGGGTTTGGTTAACCAAACTCTTCAATGTTATCCTCCGGACAGCAAGGATGCCTGATGAGTGGAGGGAGAGTCTCTTGGTCCCTCTGTTTAAAGGCAAAGGTGACATTCAGAGCTGCGAGAATTACAGAGGCATCAAACTGCTTAGCCATACCATGAAGGTTTGGGAGCGAGTCATTGAGTATAGGGTGCGGAAAGGGGTATGCATCTCTGAGAACCAGTTTGGTTTCATGCCTGGCAGATCGACTACAGAGGCCATTCATCTCGTGAGGAGGTTAATGGAAGAGTATAGGGCTAGGAAGAAAGACCTTCATATGGTGTTTATTGACCTTGAAAAAGCGTACGATAGGGTGCCGAGGGAGGTCTTATGGAGGTGCCTTGAGACGAGAGGAGTTCCCATCGTGTACACTCGCGCGATCAAGGATATGTACGATGGGGCTATGACCAGGGTAAGGACTTCCGGGGGCGACTCTGAGTCATTCTCGGTAGGGATGGGGTTGCACCAGGGGTCTGCCCTTAGCCGTTTTTTGTTCGCCTTGGTGATGGACGTCCTAACTCGAGGTGTTCAAGAAGGGGTCCCATGGTGCATGCTTTTCGCGGATGATATTGTGTTTATCGACGACACACGTGAGGGACTAAACAATAAGTTGGAACTATGGCGTCTTGCCCTTGAGACTAAAGGATTCAGAATAAGTAGGAACAAGACTGAATACATGGAATGTCGTTTCAGCGGCCGGAAAACAGAATCAGAAGTGGAAGTTAGGATTGACTCTCATCTAGTACCTAAGGTAGATAGGTTTCGATATCTTGGCTCGGTAATCCAGGCTGATGGGGAGCTAGACGGGGATGTTGGACATCGTGTTGGAGTGGCTTGGGCCAAATGGCGGTTAGCTTCAGGGGTGTTGTGTGATCCGAAGATTTCGCCCAGGATGAAAGGTAAGTTCTACCGATCCATAGTCAGACCTGCTATGTTATATGGGGCAGAGTGTTGGACGGTTAAGAAGACTCATGTGCGTCGTCTGCATGCGGCGGAGATGCGGATGTTACGATGGATGTGTGGGAAGACAAGGTGGGATAGGATTTCGAACGAAGTTATCTGACGTTAGGTAGGCATGGCGCCGGTGGAAGATAAGTTGCGGGAAGCGAGGTTGAGATGGTTTGGTCATGTGAGACGGCGGGATGCTGACGCCCCTGTACGAAGATGCGAGAGAATTACGGTTATCGGGGGAAGTAGGGGAAGGGGTAGACCTAGGAAGAATTGGAAGGAGGTGATTAGGCAGGATTTAGGACTTCCCACCCTGACTGAGGATATGACCTTAGATAGGAACCTTTGGAGAACTAGGATTAGAGTAGCTGGATAGGAACTCGGTGCTGTAGAGGTTGTTTTGTAATGTCTTGTGTTTGATTGGAATCTTTTGCTATTGCTTGCAGGACTTTCATTTCATTGCACTTGGTGCTCTATCCGTGTTATATTGTGTCTCCTTTCATATTTTTGTGCAGGTTGAGCCGGGGGTCTCTTGGAAACAGCCTCTCTACTTCCGAGTAGGGGCAAGGTCTGCGTACACACACCCTCCCCAGACCCTACTGTAGTGGGATTCGACTGGGTTGTTGTTGTTGTTGTTTTTAACTAAACTTAAAATACTTAACTTGTTAGTGACTGCATCTATTGCCAATGAAGCTAAATCCAAAAAGAGATTTTTTTTTACAATGTTTAAGCTTTGGGTAAATAATTGACCAAATCAAAACGAAACATTAAGCTTCCCTTGCTTCTTACTTTCTAGAAAGTTTTTAGACAGTAACTGCATAAATGCACCAAGGGTCTAACAAAAACAAGCCCTCTGTTTTTTAGGGGAAAGGTTGTGTACATACTGACCCATATCCCTTAGACCTCAATGAAGTTGGGATTATACTGTGTTTGTTGTTGTTAAATTATCCATGACTGTTTTTTGGTGAATCACACGATATATTATGTTTTTATGATAAAATGAGACTCGTCTTTAGAGTTTAGACAAAAAAGATTGTGACACTAGACTCTCTCTTTCGGGATGGATGGAGTACATAATAAATGAAATGTCTTCCGCAAATACAAAAAAGTGATATCATATAACCAATTAAACAACAACAACCTACCGGTAGAATCCCAAAGTGGGCTATGGGGGTGAATGTACACAAACCTTACTCCCACCTAGACAATATCATATATCCAATTAAAAGTAATAAATCACTAATACAAATTAAACTCAGCCTTTTTACGTAAGATGCAAAGCAATAAGTACCTATGATCCCCTCGTTTGGGTTGAGTGCTAGCCAGAGCACCTGTAAATCCCACACCCAGAGCTGGGAAGCCTATTAAAATAAAAACTCAGCATAAAGGATAAGATCTGAAAGTAACAGTTGCTTAAATACTGAAATGGAAAGAAGTTTGCTTGCATTATGTATAACATTGCTATAATATACTCTATCCATCCAGATTTAGTTATCCACTTTCTTGTTTTTATTTGTCCATAATTAGCTGTTCACTTTCTATATTGTATATTCAAGAAAAAAACTATGACTAATTGTCTAAAACATCATAGAGATAGGATATGAGCAATCTTGACAAGAATGATGGACAAACTCATTTGAAGGACTTATTTGACATTTTACATTTCTAAAAAATGAGTCCTGATGGAGTTGAGCAATTCCATATCTCAAGAATCTCTGAGTCCCCTTAAGAGAGAGAAAAAGAGAGTAAGTCATGTTGCTTCTTTGGATATGATGGGGTTTTGCTGTGTTCTTAACTTCTTATTAAGTGGCATACTTTGTTTTGCTTGAACAATCTGATGTTTTGTCGTGTTTCTTATTCGAACCTAAAGGAATCTTATTGTCCTCTTATTAAATAAGTGGCATACTTTGCTTTGCTTTGAAAAATCTGATGTTTCATCGTGTTGCTTCTTCTACTCTGTTGTGTTCTTATTAAATAAGTGGCATACTTAGTTTTCCTTGGAACGATCTGATGTTTTACTTTCTTCCTTTTGCAGTGTCTGGTGCAATCTATAGGTTTCTCACGGTAGCGGCTAGTCGTGATGCTTCAAAGCTTTCATCTATGGTAGGAAATGTGGTAAAGAAAGGGTTTCTATGCGGCTGAGGATGGGGAGCGTCTTAGAATCTATTTTTAGTCGTATTCATATTCATTGCTACGTAGATTTTAATTGTGTCATTATTGTATTTTAGAAATTGTGGGTTGTACGTATATTGCTATGGGCTAGAATTCTGTATCCCACTTTGGTGATAGTGGTGTTTGCATTGGTCGATTTGGTCCGCGGTTTTTCCCAATTTAGGTTTCCACATTAAATTTTAGTGTTCTTTATTATACTGGTGTTGTTGTTATGTTGTAAAGCCTTACACATCGGATTCCCCAAATACTAAGAAGAGCAACTACGAGGTCAACTGATTCATCCCAAAACATACTCACAGAACACACACACACTCTATGACAGCCCAAAACAATTCTTTAAGAAAAGAAGTGAAAACCATGACCATCATATAACTCAATCTTCAAACCTCCAAGGGCTTAAAAAAAAAAGCATACCCGGTTTCGAAAGCTTCAATGCTCGATTGTAAGCCAGCAATGCCATTTCCTCTGCTGTTTGCAGGCTAGCAGATTGAGCAGGAACCTTCCAATAACACATCCATTAAATTCAAATGAACAAAAAAAGAGGATCATCAAGTACACCCCAGAAAAATGCAATGAATCTATTCAAAAAAACACCGAAAAATTGCAAAAATTGTGGGGGGGAAGGGTAATTTTGCAAAAAATGAGCCGACCTTTCCGAGCAATTGGACCATGGACATTCTGGAGTAAGGAACCACGGCTTCAAGCACGGTGTTGGAAGCCCCGGGAACGGACATCAACCACCCCAAGGCCTGTTCAGATTCTGGGTAAGCAATTCATCAAACATGTTGTGTGCATCTGTGAGAGATCATGGAATAGAAGAACCTGAGAAGCTCCGCCGGAGACGTAGACGACGGCTTGAGTGGGAGTAGAGTGTATGGCTTCCACCAGTGTTCTCATACAGGCGTCAGCCATCATCGTCTTCTATGGAACGATCGGAAGATCGATATGTCCTGAGTTGCGCTGACTGTGGTTGCATGAAAAGTGAAAACAATTTCTTTTGTTCTATAGTAAATTTCATATTTTAATACTCCGTATTTAATTGTCAAAAAATAAATTTTACTATATTTCTTTTTTTCTAAGAATGAAATATGTGACTCATATTTTCTTTCTCTGCCGAATAAATTCAAATCATATACTCTTTATATTTTAAGACATTTTTTAAACTCTACAAAACCACGGACCATTAAATTAAATATAAAGATTTTTTTGAAATAGAGAAACGAGCTGACATAAATTTTTAATTTGAATATATAGTTATATTTAAAGTCGCTTCTAATTTAATTTGTTCTGAATTGATTGATTTTAATAAAAATAAACAATAATAAGCAACATGGGTAAGTTGAAAAGACGGACTCTAACGCTCTATTCATTTAAGTTGTATAAACAGATTTGGATATTGAAATAAAATGTAAGGAATTGAAAAAAAAAACATGAAGAAATCAAAGGGAGTTTTTTTGCATCATTTACCCCTAAACTTTTCAATAATTACNGACCCCCCCCCCCCGAACTTTAAAAATTGTACCAATGACCCCTAAACTTTTAAAAATATTGTGCCACTGATTCCTCTGTGCCATACTTGGGAGTGCGTTAATCACACGATCATCCAGTGTAAGTATAGATTTATCTAAAATCATATATCACACGTGAGTTCAGCAATATGTCCTTTCCAAAGATTATTTTCTATATTTTTAACTTCTTTGAATTCCAGATAATTATTCTCGATTTGGTTGTCGGTAACTAGATTTAAAGATAAGACATCAATCAATAAAGCTCATCATTAGTGAGCTTGTGATTAACACATCCCATTCTCCCAACTCTAACACAGGCCACAGAGGGACCGTTGGTGCATTACTTTTAAAAATTCATGCAGCATTGGTTAAATTTTTAAAGTTTGAGGTAAATATGTGCAATTTTTGAAAAAATCTAGAGTAAATGATACAAAAAAACTCAATTTAAAAATGTTGGGAAAAATAAAGTACATTGATGAGTGTGTGATTAACGCACTCCCAAATCTAACAGAAAAAGACCGTTGGTGCAACATTTTTAAAAGTTCAAGGGACAATGGTGAAATTTTTGTAGTTCAAGGTGAACCAATGCAATTCTCAAAAAGTTCAATAGTCAATGACGCAAAAAAACTCAATTGAAACATGTTGGAGAAAAGTATTGACAAAAGCATGTGTTTGTGGTCGATGTAAAATTTAGAGAGCTTCTTTGGTGCATCTTGAGTGCATATCGACTTTTTCACATAAAAAAAATTATTTTTTATATTTTTTATTTGAAAAAGCAAATGCTTATTTAAGTTGTAAACAAATACTTATTTTGATCATATGTACGTGTATGATAGATTTTAGGTCAACCATAGAATTTGCCGTAAAATTAACAGCGCAATTTTATCTATCTTAATTTTCAAAAGTCCAACTCGATACTATACACGGAGTAATAAATAAATTATATAGCATAATGATATGTAAAATGAATAAATAAATACTCCGTAAATACATAAAGCCCCTCTATTTTGGCATAGATCACAACGTTCTTATGAGAATTTTTTTCAATAAGTAATCTAAAAATGTGTTCACAAATAAGTATCCATTAAGAAAACCCAATGCAACAAAAAGAGAAATGATTTTTTGCCCTTCTCTCTTCATTTAAAAGGGATAAGGTTAATATCATGGTAACAAAAAAAAATTATTGCTTTCTTAATAAAATTGATTTAACCAAAAGTTCAAGATGAATGGTGGGAGCATATAATTTCAATCTATTACGGAGTAATTTTTTTAATCTATTAATGATATACACCAAACTAAGTTTGCGTTCCATTCACCTGGTCTGATCCGATCTGATTATTTGAAGATCTGATCTGGTCTGATTTGATCTGATTGCAGTTCTAATTAAAACTGTTTTCAATCTGATTTGGTCTCACCTGATTATAATAAGAATAAGTAATAAGCAGAAAAAATAAGTTAAATGAAACGCTACCTAAGTAATGATACAATAACTAAGAACCCGTTTGGTGAGCACGGCAAAGTTGATATGATACAAATAGCACTCCGTAGGAGATATCAGAATCTATAACGCATCCAACATGCCAAACAGCCCCGTAGAGAAAAAACTCATCATCTTACCGTTGCAAATAACATGATATAAGTAAACTTATCAGGCACATTTGTACAAATATGAAACTTGGCATTATTCTGCATATACTCTCTCTCTCTCTCTCTCTCTCTCTCTCTCTCTCTCTCTCTCTCTCTCTCTCTCTCTCTCTCATGTGTGATTCAATAGGTGTTATGAATAGTTATAGTGTCCAACACAGCATGGAGAATGGGAGATGACTAACCAAACTTCACTTTCCACTTGTGACATAAATACATAATGTTGAAGGATTGGCAGTAGGTGCATAAAGTTGAAAAGGCAAGAGGAGCATATACCAACCACTTTAGGAGCAAGCAAAACAAGGGCAATCATCATCAGTCCAGTCACGAATCATAACGGCATAAAAACTGGACAATGCATGGATATATTTGTTCAGCAGCCTGCAATTAACAGAAAGATATCCCAAGTTGTCACACCTTTAATGCAATTTAAATGAAATTATAAGGTGCAACAACACGCCCGTGTTCTATATCCTCTATTGAACCGGACATAGTGCAAAGAGTGTAATACTTGTAAGGGTGGAAATGTAACAGCCATTAATAGATCCATACTATGAAGTTACCTACCCTCTCAAATCTGAACCGACGGTCAAATTGGATTGTTCTCGTATTCAAGGGATCTCTATAGTCTATACTTCGTACATGTGGTCAGGGATTGCATGGTCGTTCAGTATGAAATGGTATGCAGACTCTGAGTTTGGTCAGAGCGTGGGAAAGAGGGTAAAGATATAACCTTGGTTTCGAAGCATTGAAGTCACACACTGGAAATCTTCATAATTAAATGGCTGACAGTATTCACCACGAAAAAGAGAGCAAAAACACTGTATGGTGGAATTTACACATTGGCATATCCCAGGGATGAACCGATGAATATGACATTTCCCAAATGCTATCAAAACTGTGCAGAATAAGTAATGGTATGCACACTTTGAATCCTAATTAATGATAGTTAGATTTCCACTCTCATCTATTTTGTTATTGTATAAGTTATCAAAGAATTATTGTTGGTCAAAATGCACATACCACTCGGCATCCCACTAGATCATAATGAGCATAATGTGGACCATCCGGCTCCCCAAAGAGTTTATAGGTAACTAAGTGCTCGGGAATGGCCTTTGCAGTTTCTGTTCGTCATTAAGCAAGAAAATGTATTGACTTCATTCCATTTTCTCATAATTAAATAGCATTAGTAGTTTAATACATACCATAAACAGCTTCAGGTGGACAGATTAAGTCGTGATCTCCCGCAATAGCTAAGACCGGAACATTGATTTTGTGAAGATAATCCTTGTATGCAAATTTGCCACTTCTGTCTCGAAGCCCCCCTTCTCGAAAAGCTGTTGTGAGCTGTAATAAAAGTTTGGCTGGAATGGTGCCTGTTCATAGGTTATCAGCCAACTTTTATATGAAAGAAGTTCAGCCTATCACATGTTTGTGGGAATTAGGAGTTGGAAGCTGTCAGGTTTTAAACAGATATTCTATTCAAAAGAAAGTAGTTGTAGCACATAGTTTGTCTGGAATGGTGCCTGCACATGGTTTATAAGCCAACTTTTGTAGGGGAAAAAATCAGTCTATCTTATGTTTGTAGGCATTAGGAGTTAGGAGTTGTCAAGTTATAAACAGACATTATATTTGAAGACTTGTAGCACATCCATGTTAAAAGCTCATGGCTCTCCGTTAGAAGTTTAGCCACTAGTTGATTCACATTAAATCACCTAATACCTATTCTTTCTATGAGAAAACTGTGTCAAAATGATATAAAAATAAAATAAAAACAGTCTTAGTTTTCACCAAGTATCCTCTATGAGCAGTCAAACATTAGTATAACAGTTTTCAATTTGTAAATTCATAGCAGTGATCACAGATCAATGTAGAGCAAATTAACACAATAAATAAATGAAACAAGTTCATCTTGAAAATAGAACATCAATGGCTGCTTTGGAAAAACTCAAGAAACGTCACCAACGCTTGTTATCCAAAGCACTCAGTAATTCAGTGAACTTTATCATTTAACCCGGTTTTATTTATTATGAAGCATCTATTTGTACTTCGTATCTTATCAAACTGCAGACTGCATTCAGCTGACCAGGAGATCCAAACCACTTACTAGGAATCTAGGATTAATTCCCTTCACAACCAATGTGAATCTAAGAGCCGGCTTTTAACATAATGTGTGAAGATTTTCTAATCAAATATGAAATGATCCACAAAGAAAGATGTATTTTCATTGGAATACTTACAAAAGTTGTTCTGAATGAGTTTTTTCAACAGCTCGGGATGCATCATATCTCCTGCCGATATCATGTCATTGAGCCAAGACAAAACATAAGGAGGACTAGATGTTAGTGGATAAGCTGCTGTTAACAACGATCCTAGAGGAATAACAGGTACATTGAGAGCCTGGGCAGGATCAGCCTGCATGAATATAGGGGACAGTAATTAAGCATGTTGATAAAGGAGTACATAATGATTGCTGATAAACAAAGACCTTAGACTCAGCTTACAAGGGGTAAAAGCAGTTTAAGTGCAGATTTAGATGGTGTGTAATCAAGTGATGAGGCCAGAGTTACAACAGCTGCTAATCCAGGATCTTTCCCATCTAAAGCTGTAAAGAATAGACACATTGTGTTGACAGTCAGACCACACTACTTAAATATGATCTAAACTGTCATTTTCGAGAAGAAATAACTTAATGACATGAGGGTGGTGGGAGTAGCTCACATGGTGCCCCCCCCCCGACACACACACCAATGATCGAATCACCGCCCAAAAATAATGTAATGACATGTAATAATAAGCAAGCACATAGAAGAAACCAAAAACAATCTAAACTGAGCTCATAGTAGCAATATACTCCCTCTTGCCCCAAAAATGGGTACCTACTTAAGAGTAAGTGCATAACGAAAATCCAAATATTGTTTTTGTTCATCCCAAAATAAGGTTCCGTTTACGTTGAGGAAAGAA